ATAGATTTAGAGTTGGAAGAGACCTCACAGGCCAACTTCCTTACGTAACTGATGAGGAAGCTCTGGCCGAGGGAGAACAAGAGATTTGCTCAAGGTCACAGAGGTAGTAAAGTGTAGAGACAGTGTTTGAACCCAGATTTAGGGCTTTTCCCACTGTTTATCACTTCCCTTGTGTGACCAAATGAGATAATGTATGAGAAATGTTTTAGAAACTATGAAGTACTGTCTCAGTCTGCTGTGACAGTTTCACAGAAGAATCAGATTGGCCAGTAAATGACTCAAGCATTAAGGCCCATGATAGTGCCCTTTGATTGAATAAGGTAAGGCTTTAGGCCAAACACAATACACTTGGAGGTGAGAATGTGGGCCATTGAGGGAACTAGAGAAAGACACAACCAGAGAGGCCCTTGGGGTGATGGTCTTCAGGCTGCAGCGCCTGGAAGAAAGGGCTCAGTGAATGATGCTCAGGTGGAGCCTCTTGGTTTGGGTACACCTGGCTTTGCCAGTTCTCTGTTCTCTAGGCATTGAGGTATCGCAATGGATAGAGTGCTGGGCTTGGAGTCAGGATGATCTGATTTCTATCATGCCTCAGACACTTACTTAACTGTGGGATCCTGAGGGCAAGTCACTTAACTTTTCTCAGCCTCAGTTTTCTCAACACCTACTTCCCAGGGCTTGTTATGGGGGTCAAATAAGTTAAGATGTATAGTGCTTTGCAAAGCTTAAACTGTTATGTAAATGTATTAACTAATTGTACTATTTTCTACCCCTTCTCCTGGTTAATATATGAAACAGCTGGGAATTGGCCCTCCCATACCAAGGAGGCCCATTGACACCTCCAAACTAACTGTCAACTTCCTACACTAGGGTAGTGAGTAGTGAGCACACACTCCATTGGGGCAGCCCTAGGGGAGATGAGAGTTTCTACCAGTTTTATAGAGAGGTCTCAACTAGGAGTGTCTGATTGTTTCCCTGTTTCTCATGTCATTGAAAGGAGGCTCTAGATCAGGGGTGGGGAACCTGAGGCTTTGAGGTCACATGGGGCCTTCTAGGACCTCAAGTGTGGCCCTTTGACTGATTCCAAACTTCACAGAACAAATTCCCTTAATAAAAGGATTTATTCTGTAAAACTCGGACTCAGTCAAAAAGCTGCACCCAAGGCCTTAGAAGGCCACAAGTGGCCTCGAGGCCACAGGTTCCTCACCCCTGTTTTAGATATTGGCTAAGGAAAGCCCCTGCTGTAAAAGTTTGAGGCATAGAAATTTCCAAAAAAAGGGAAGGCTGGGGAGGGCGTCATGTGGGAAACAGGGGGAATGTGAAGAGCAGAGACAGCCTGACATAAGAGAGAATAGGTTCATAAAACCAGAGACTTTGTTTGGACTATCATATGCTCAGTATATGAATGCCAGCAATTGTGATGACATTCCTGAGGCTGCAGTCTCCAGGAAGGTAATTTTCTCCAAGACCTCGAGGAGTGGTTGTAGAAGTGACCGAGAAGGCAGAATCTGCCATTTTCTCGCTGACCCACTGCCTGGTTTCTTTTAGGCCTAATGCCTAGTTTATCTTAAACAGAAGTTTATTTTCACAGTTCCTATGTTATAATTATAATAATTATTATTATTTAATGTGAAACTTTTCTGGATTCAACATGGAAAAATCCTAAAGTGGAAATGGCCAGAGAGAACAAATGGCATGGTTTTCAGGGTGGGGGCCTGTGTCTCTGCTGCCAGGGAAGGGCAATCCTAAGCAGTTAGGGAGTAAAAAGTGAGTGTTATTTTTAACCTGGGCCTTCTTGATGGAGTTCCCTCCCCCAGTATGGCACAGGGTGTTGATTATGATTTATTTTTAACGGCCCAGTGTGGAGGAAGCTGGGGCCACAATGCCTATTGCCCAACCAGGTTGACAGGTTCAGTTCTCTGGGGAAGGCTGGGCACCCTACATGGGAGGCATGTTGGTGTGGGAGGGCAGAGAACCAATGAGTACAGACTCTTTGTTCCTCTCTCAGGAGGCGAGAAGGGAGGTAGATTAAGAGAGAGATCAGAGATGAGACGCAATTGGTGAAGTCAGGCAGAGCGAAACCTACCAGAAGGAGTTAGGTGCAGAAGGAGGGAAGGTAGGGGGTTGAGGATAAATACCAGTCCATTAGATAGCAGTCCATTAGAGTAGAATAATTATATCTAGGCAAGTTGTACTATCGACCAGTAATGGTGGCTCCCTGAACAGGATGTCCATGGGCTCAGGCCATAGTGAAGCTCCCTCTCTCACAGTCAAGAAGTAGAAAAAGTTAGGTTCTTTCAGAAGTCACTGGGCATGAGCCTCTGTCTTCTATCTCCCAAGGACAGCCCCTGAAGCTATTTAGAAATAGTCTTAAAACACAGAGGTGCTGGTGGGTGATTGTCATCTTAGGTCCATTGACTTTGAGCTGGAAGGGACCTCAGAGGTTCCAGCTTCTCCTTTTTATAGAAGAAGAAACTCAGGTCTTTTTCCTTCAGAGAAGTTAAATGATTTGCCTAAGGTCAGAGGCAAAATTTGAACCCTCTGACTACAAATTCAGTGCTCTTTTCCCTCTCCCACACTGCCACGATCAACCTGGGAATAGGCTGGGAATAGGGCCCACAGGAGTTACAAGGATAGGGTTTTGGTTTTGTGTGTGTGTGTGTGTGTGTGTGTGTGTGTGTGTGTGTGTGTGTGCTCACGCGTATGTGCTCAAGCACATGCAGATGGGTATGTATGATTCCTGTAGAGGGCAATGGGATATATATCCATTGACTTTTTGGGGAACCTGTCCTTCCCCCATCTTCCTTTCCCCAGGGTGAATAGAGTTATTGGGTAGCTTGGGACCCAGCCTCTGGAAGCATAGCTCTAGGCCCTGGAATCAAAGAGATTTGCTTAATTTTTTTTAAGGAAGTTTTGTCTGCCTGGTCCTCCCTCCTTCTCCTCCATTTCCCCCATTGATTGGTGTGTAGAAGGGAAGTCTCCAAAACAGCTGGAGCGGCCCTCCCTCCGGGTAAGGGTTAGCTTCTCCAGGTCCCACAGAGAGTGAGGAAGAGCAGGAAGGGGAAAGGGACTGGTGAAGTGCTTCCACGTTGGCTCTGCCTGTCCAGTACTACACGAACTAACAGGTCACATCTATAAATAGCTTGGTGAGATGAATGGGCCATGAAGACGGGGTATAAATTCCATTCTCTTCACAGTGATCATTCCTGCTGGAAACAGGTTACAGCGCTTAAAAATAATCCCAAATTCTAAACTCCTATATTTAGTTGGACCCCTTACGTGCCATCTTCTTCACTTCCCCACCCAGATTTCATAGAATATAAACACTAAAAGAAACCTTGGGATCATATAGAAACCCCGGACTCTCTACAATTCTACAGATAAGGAAATAAACAGATAGGGAGCAAGCACAACTGGCACTAGAAGCCAGGTGTCTCCTAGTTTTCAGTACAGTGATTCTTCCATACCGTAGGGTCTCTAAAACTACCCCATACAGATGAGAACTGCTGAATTTCCAGGCTGTAATTTTGTTGTTGTTGTTCAGTTGTTTTCAGTCACATCTGACCCTTTGTGACCCCATTTGAGATTTTCTTGGCAGAGATACTGGAGTGGTTTGCCATTTCCTTCAGCTCATTTTCCAGATGAGGAAACTGAGGTAAACAGGCTTAAATGACTTGCCCAGGGTCACCCAGCTAGTAAGTGTCTGAGGCCAGATTTGAACTCAGAAGATGAGTCTTCCTAACTCCAGGCTTGGCACTCTGTCCACTGCACCACTGTATCAACTAGCTGCCTTGTAATACCTAGCTGTAATTAGCATGAAGTAAAAAGAGTTTTGCCCCTGGCTGCTGACATTGAAATGATGGTTATATTTCCTGTTTGGGGCCATTCTCTCTCCCTGCTATGACTACTGTTCATGTACTTTGCCTTCCCGAAACTCTGATAGCCCATGCCAAAAATCATCTATGGGCTGGAACTACCTCTATGGCCCTATCACTGTGGTCCCCTTTTCCCAGAGCCTGCCTTTTCCCCAAATTCTAGCAGGGGTGAGGGTCAGATTTTTTAGGGGACAGGGATGCCCTTTTCCCTGAATGACTCTACCCAATTGGATGGTCCTCTGTACCATCAACACTCTTCACACCCCTAACTCTTTGTCCTATGTAGTTAAAAAAAATTACTAGGGTTCTGCTGAATTTCTTCAGGAGGATAACATTTTATCCTAGAGTCTTTTAAGCTCTGATCAATAGGAAAGTTCTTAGAAATTCAACTGTACCTTTCTTATTGCAATTTTGGATAACTCCCTCTTTCATATTAATCATCATCATAACAGTCATAATTCACAATTTTATAGTGCTTTGTAAAAGGCTTACAAAGCACTTTCCTCACAATTACTCTGAAAGGCAAGTACTATAAACTTATTCACAACCACCCTCATCACCCCTGCCCCCCTTTATTTAATGGATGAAGAAATAGTGGCTGAGAAAGGTTAAGTTATTTGCATATGGTCACACAGTTGGTATGAACCAAAGTAGGATTCAAACTCTGGTCTCTCTAATGTCTTTCCTTATTCCAGGGCTCTATCTCTCATACCACACTGCTTCTTTGTCTATTTCTTTGGATTCTGAGGCTTGAGATAGAACATGGGCAGTAATATAGGTTTCACCCTCTCCTGGCCTGGATCTCTTCTGATGCCTGCTGTGTGGACTAGGTGATATTGGAGAGGCTTTGGTGGGGGACTTTTTTTTAGGTGCTGAGGAGGATAACACTATCTACATTTCTCTAAGGTTCCTGCTCTTTCTTCTTAAGTACCAGGCCCACACCCCCACACAAAGCTTCACCCAAAGGTGCCACTAGGGTGATAGTTTCAGGCAAAGTCCCTAGTATTCGCTGAGTAACTGGGGATCCAGCTGGAGGAGGGGTGGAGGGACAGGTCCAGCTAGTTCTGCCTTGTTGTTTATACATCACATTACCTCATACATCCCAACCACCTTGCTCCCCCGCCCCATTTCTGACAGGGGCCAGCCCTATAGGCCTTTGAGCCAGCCTCTTTTTTCCCCTCCTGTCCCTGGGACACCAGAGTCCAGTACAACATGGATCTGCTCATCAGCTGAGTTGGGGAAGTTTCATCCCACCAGAAATCATGGAGGGAGACAACCACCCGGTAAGCTAGCTCTGGGAAACCCTGTTCAGCTAGTCTCTCCTAGGAGGTGGTTAATCTCCAGGGAGGGTTTGGAGGGAAGGCTCAGGAGAAGGAGAATCATGTGGTTTCATCATTTGCCTTAGATTTCTTTCTTTCTTTCTTTCTTTCTTTCTTTCTTTCTTTCTTTCTTTCTTTCTTTCTTTCTTTCTTTCTTTCTTTCTTTCTTTCTTTCTTTCTTTCTTTCTTTCTTCCTTCCTCCTTCCCTCCCTTCTTTCTTTCTTTAATTCCTTTTCTCCCTGCCCTTTTTTTCTTTCTCTCTTTTTTTCTCTTTCTCTCTCTCTTTCTTTCTTTCTTAAATTTTGAATATAGCTTTTTACATTTAGTGGCTACTTTGGATCAGAGATCTCCATCTCCTTTTGCTCAGGAAGGAGTTGATGGGGGAGAGAAACCAATGGAGACTTGGGGTATGGTCAGTGGGAGTAGCCAGGCTGGGGTGAGGGGAGGGTCAAGACACATGCATTTTCTTTAAGTGCTACATACTGTACTTTGCACCCTGTGGGTGCTTAGGTTTTTCCAATTACTTATCAGTCTGTCTTGATCATAACCTTTCTGGGGTTTAGAGACTCATGGAAGGGGAAAGGACCTTTGGTGAGGATGCTATTCATCTCTGCCTCTAGACATTTAAACCATTTCTTTGTGAATCTTTCATTACTTTTTATAATTTTAGAGGAGGTTTCACTGTCTTCCTTGGCCACCCATTCTCTCACTTAATAATCATTGCTATTATGATGTTGGGAAGCTCTTTCTCATTTTGCTGTTGTTCAGTAGTTTTTGATCGTATCTGACTCTTTGTGATCCCTTTTGTGATTTTCTTGACAAAAATACTGGAGTGATTTTCCATTTCCTTCTACGGCTCATTTGACAGATGAGGAAACTGAGGTCCAGGGAGATTAAATGATTTGCCCAAGGCCTCACAGTTGGTAATTAGGATTTGAACCCAGGTCCTCTGCCTTCAGTGCTCATTCCACCAAACCACTCTGCCCTAGGTACTTGAGGTAGTTTTTCAGATTTCAAAATATCTGTAAAATCCTTGTGATTACTCTCTCTATAATCCTCTCTGAGCTTTAGGAGATGATCTTTGAGAATTGTTGTAGGGAAAAAAAAAACTAACTACTTTACCACCTGGTGGCCCACAAACTAGTGACAAAGCTTGCTGGATTTAGTTAAGTAGTAAGCATTTATTAAGCACCTACTGTGTGCCAGGTACTTTACAAACTATCTCATATAATCTTTATAACAACCTTGTGAAGTATTATTGCTATTTTATAGGGGAAGAAACGACGGGCAGACAGAAGTGAAGTGACATGCCCAGGGTCACACAGTTCTAAGTGTCTGAAGCTAGATTTGAGCTCAGGTCTTCCTCACTCCAGGTCCAGCACTATGGTCTTTGCAGCACCTAGGACAACAAGCACCCCATTAGGCCTGGTCTTTTGATGGGACCTGCCAGAACCTTTGAGAGCTCTGGACCACCTCCATTCCATAATGAGGCAGTTGAGATGGTAGAAGTGAACCCAAAGGTCTTTGGTAAATTATACCTCAGCCTTCTCTTCTTCAGGTGAAATCATTCCAGTTCCTTGAACCTTTTCTCTGAGATATTTTTCCCATCCCACTTTACCATCTCTATAGCCCTTCCTGGTGGACTCCTCACATTTCTCTAGTATCTCTTTACTTGTACCACACTGCCTGGGACTCGAAAAAGGCCCAACAAATAGTGATTTTAAAGGGAAGGTCTATTCCAGGGGTGAAGAACCTGCAGCCTTGAGGCTGCATGTGGCCCTCTAGGTCCTTTTATTAAAGGGATTTGTTCTATGAAGTTGGGATTCAGTTGAAGGGCCTTACTTGAGGACCGAGAGGGCCACACACGGCCTCGAGATAGTTCTCCACCCCATGTCTATTCTATGCTTTACTTCTCCTTATGCATGTGGGGTATATTAGTGCCACTCAGACCAGCCTGAGAAAGCCCATTGCTAAATTTTCAGTGTGAACATTTAGACCTCAGAAATGGTCAATCTCTGTAAGTCAAGCATTGATTTATTGTTTTGTTGATTAAACTTAAAAGGGTGTGCTCATACACACCTTCCCCAAGCCTGGGTATTAAACATTTACCAGAGCACCCCTGTATTGTTCTATAAGCCTTGCTTGAGCTCAATGAAGTGTAGTAGAAGACTCACAGAATGAAGTCATCACCAGACTAGAGGCTAATAATAATAATAATGATAGGCATTTATGTAGCACTTTAAGTTCTGTAAAGTGCTTTATATCCATTATCTCATTTGAGCCTCACAACACCCATGATTACAGAGGTACAAAGCTGTTTTGGAGTTGGGCTTGCTATTCACTCTGACTCCCAGATCCTTTTCTACCATACTTGTCACTCTTCTATCCTTCCCTTTAGTTTCTCTGGCTACGTTCCCCCTTTCCCCCCCCCCCCCCACTCTGGGTAGGTATCTCCTTGTCCATAATGAATCGTGTTTTGTTTACTTCTGTCTCCTCCAATTTACTAAATTCATCTTGGAGTCCCATGCCTTCAGTGTTCATTTAGTTGGATGAGAGGAACTTGCTGATCATTTGCCAATAGATGCCCAAAGGGTGAGAAAGGGGCAGGCCTGGGGTGTAGGAGGGCTGGACTTGGAAGCTTCATGACACATGGTTGCTTAGCGAGGGCGACCTTGAGTCAGCATTTGCTAAGCACACTCATTTCCAACATGGAAGAGCTGAGAGTGGGATTGTTCTTGTTGGTAGAAAGATGGTGACTAGTGAACAATTAATTCCTAGGTGCCTCATGATGTGGCTTGGCAGGTGGCATATAGGCCCCTGAATGGCAAACTTTCACTCTTGAGGTGAGCAATTTTAATTCCCTCCTCTGTGGTCTCTGAGTTCATCCCTTTGTTTGGCGTGGCACCTCTCCATCGGATATTGTTCCAGGGCGCTTGCAGGCTGGGTTCTTTAAAACCTTTGGAAGGCACAGTCTGGAGGCTCATGCTGGTGAGATAGGGGTTGAGGAAGAACACAGATGACCTGTCATCTTTAAGCTTTACATGCTTCCTTGTGTCCTACTAGAAACACAAGGACAGTCATAGCCGTTCACTCTGGCAGAATGGGAGCTGGTGGCTTAAAAAGATTGTTGGCCATTCATGATGGCCATTCATTACATTTTTGCTAGAGCCTCCGGGGATAATATGGAAGAGGAGATGGTATGCGTTCCCTTCGATATCCAAGGAAGGAAAACGGGACCTTTCAAATGTCAAAGAATTGGAATATTGGCCTTTCAAAGATAGTCATTTTACAGTCGAAAGGGACCTTAATTCAAGCCCCTCATTTTACAGATAAGGAAGCTGAGATCAGAGGGGTTAAGTCACTTGCTCAAGGCCACACAGATAGTGGATGACAGAACCAGAATATGAATGTATCTCTTCTGACTCCAAAGCCGGGGCCCTTCCACTGCACAGTGGAAACTTCCACTCATAAAGTAGATTTTCTTTTAATGGTCTGTGTGTCATCTTTCATTTTACTGATGAGGAAACTGAGGCCTAGAGAAGCCTTAAATGGTCTGTTGAAAGTCAGGTAGGTAGTAAGGGAAAAAATGTAAAACAGTCTGCAAATTGAGTTTTTGCAAGTAAAATATAATTTAATACATGAAGTGAACTTGACATTCAAACAAACTGCTGCAAACAATTTTGTTAAGCAAAGAGTTCTTTTATGAAGTGAGTATTTTGACTCCTTGATGTACCTATAGTCAAGACATTTATTGAGCACCTACTTTGGGCCAGGCCTGATGCTAAATGTTGAGAATACAAGCATAAAAAAAAAAAAGACAGTCCCTGCTTTCAAGGAGCTTACAATTTAATGAGTAGAGATAAAACACAAAACGAAACTGAAAAGAAGGTACCTTATGAAGGGGCATGGTGGAGAAATCCAAGCAGTCCTCATGTGGTGCAGCCAGGTGAAAAACATGTTGTTTGACCTGAGCCCCCTACTTAAATGGAGGTTTTGGTGTTCATGGCTCCATCCTCCAATCAGAGGGGCAGAAGGTAGTGATGAGGTACGAGGACTAAGGCTGTTTTGATCTTTCCGGATGCTGAGGTTTCCCAACGATGACATTCCTGGGCACGGTGGAGAAGTGGGTCAGAGGAGTCCCAAAGTGGTACAGCTAGGTGGGTAGGAAATGATCCAAGGACTGGGTTCTGGCTCCATCATTTCATGTTCCAACCTGCCTACACTTCTTCATCCTGTGTAGTCCTTAATTCTTGTCCACATCCTTCCATAAGTTCACTTTGTGAGATACACCCAAGGTGTGGTGGCCTTTCTCTAGTTCTTCCAATGTCAGGGTGGGGGGGGGTGCAGTGTAAGATTAGGGATGTCTGCCTGCCCTTTCTCACTCCTCTTCATGGCTGGCCAGCCTCCATTTCCCAATATATGTGACATGGTGATGAATTTGATGTCTCTTCTCGTACCCAGCTGACAGCATCCTTAGACTTACCATTTATCTTTCCACTGCTTTTTGGGCCTTCTTTAGGTTTAATTCCTGTTTAAAGAATAACCGCCCCTGAATTCATCTGTTTTCAAAATTTAGTTTTTCTTATATCAAGCATTCTTAGAACAGGACTTTTTAAAAACATCACCTTAAAACATCTGGGTTTTATTAGGGTCTATTTTGACCCGAATAACACTAAGGCTCTAGGCCTGTGGGGATGGCTGGAGACACCCTCCCAAGAGCAGGCCTGGCACACTGCCAAGATGTCAGACCACCAGATAGAAAACCCTCGGCCTAAGCCTGTTGCTGTGGCTCCCTCCCTACTCTCCACTTCCCCCAGAGTAATTGTTAATGTTTATATAGTGCTTTAAGATTTGCAAAGACCTTTACATATATAATCTCTGTTGATCCTCAAGTCAGTACTATGAAGAGGAAATCTAGACCTGATGTCAGGAAAAAAACTTCCTAACAATGACAGTTTTTGGTG